TTGGTCTGAATCAAACAGCTCCTGTCTCGCTGTGCTCTGGGTTTTATGAATTTAATTCATCTTTTGGGCACTTTTTCAGTGTTTTTATTATTGAACCCTCTCCATGAACCCTCTCCCTCTCTTTCTTCCCCAATCCCTGAAATCCTCAGCCATTTCCTATAAAACAACCCAAATTTTCCCAGCTGGATTGGGGCAGGGCACTGGCTTTGAGCAGTTTTTTTTGTGCTGATTTTGCCTTGAATTGCTCCATTTAAAAGGAGAGGCTGCTGAAGACGACCATAAACACCAAAACCCCCAAAGAAATCAAAATGTGCCTTTTTTGGGAAGCAGGGAAACATTCCCAGTGCTCCTTTTATTTCTGCTCTTTCTCCATTTTGATTTTAATAGTTTATTTTCTATTTAATTATTCGGGCAGCATTAACGTGCTGGTCACTCAGGGGTTGGAATTCCTGATCCTGGGGGGATTTATCCTCAAAACACCCCCCAGCTTTTCCCTCTCTCCTGTTGCTCCCAGCACTTCCCACTCTCGGAGCCGTGGCTTTTTTTAGTTGCTAAATCTGACAAGGTTTGTGAGCAGGAGCCTCGATTCTGCACTCGGGAACATGCACAGGAATATAAATTCAGCACTTTGGGGCTTTTTTCCTGCATTCCAGCATGGAACATCACCTGGAGCTTGGATTTATGCCATCTATGACTGGAATTATTGGGTGGAAAACCTTTGAATTTGGTGGTTTATGGGCCAAGCCTGTGCTGGAGCAAATGTAGATCCAGAGGGATCTTCAGGAGATCTCAGGAACTGAGGATCCAGCCCTGATCCAGCAGATCCATGATCCATAAACAGCAGAACCAAGGAAATGGTCTTGGTGTGCCTGGGGACTCTGAGGAGGAGGAGGAGGCAGAACTGGAGGGTTTGGTTTGTGTCTGGTCCAAATTAAAATGCAAGGAGAGTCTCTGTGACAAACTCAATTGAACAAATCAGCCCAACACCAGCCCACACCCTGCCTGCCACATCCTCTGCTGAGCAACGGTTCCCAAAGGCCCTGGGGACAGCAGGAGCAGCAGGAGCTGTCCCATTGCTGTCCCATCATTGTCCCATTGCTGTCCCATCTCTGTCCCATTGTTGTCCCTTCACTGTCCCACTGCTGTCCCATCTCTGTCCCATAATTGTCCCATCTCTGTCCCATCATTGCCCCATTTCTGTCCCATCATTGCCCCATTTCTGTCCCATCACTCTCCCATCATTATCCTATTGTTATCCCATCTCTGTCCCATGCTCTCCCATCACTGCTCCCTCACTGTCCCATTGTTATCCCATCCCTGTCCCCACCTCTGTCCTGTCACTGTCCCATGCTGTCTCCTCACTCCCATGGGTGCCCTGTCCCTGCAGAGCCTGGCTGGGACCTTCTGGATTCCCCCAAATTTCCCCACACGGGATGGGCAGAGCCATTTCCTCAGAAAAGTGCCCAGAAAAGGCTCATTTGGGGCATTTTAATTCCAGGCAAACTCAGCACAGCATCCGAGGGGGAAGGAGCATTTTTATAAATCACCATTAGCAGCACGTGTGCTGTTTAAGCACTTAATCCCTCCCAATCCCCCCCTGATTAACGATTAATTGTGCCACTAATTGCGCTATCATAGCATGGCAGGCCCAGCCTGCAGCGGGCACAGGCAGCCACACCAGTGCTGAACCCACATCACAACTGGGAGCACTGGGAGGCCCTGCTGAGAGAGCCTGGGCCAAAATCCCTCCTCTATTCAAACCTCAGGGTTCTAATCCTGCCTTATCTCCAGCGTTTCCTTATCAGCTGGGAGGCAGGAGAGGAGGATTGGATGCACTTGGAACAGCCCTGCTCGGTGTCATCCCCTTTTTTAATGGGGATTTTCCTCACTCCTGTGAAAACCACATGGAAATTGCTCTGTTTTGATTTGGAGTGGGGGGAAAGCACAATATTTGAATTTATTTCCGTTATTTTTACATTTTTGATCTCTCTTTAATGCACAGCAGACTGCAGGCCAGCACCTCTCCCTGACAGTGTCCAAGGCCCTGCTTGGTGTCACCCCTTTTTTAACGTGGATTTTCCTCACTCCTGTGAAAACCACATGGAAATTGCTCTGTTTTGATTTGGAGTGGGGGGAAAGCACAATATTTGAATTTATTTTCATTATTTTCACATTTTTGATGTCTCTTTAATGCACAGCAGACTGCAGGCCAGCACCTCTCCCTGACAGTGCCCAAGGCCCTGCTCAGTGTCATCCCTTTTTTAATGGGGATTTTCTTCCACTCCTGTGAAAACCACATGCAAATTCTTCTATGTTTTGATTTGGAGTGGGGGGAAAAGCACAATATTTGAATTTATTTTCATTATTTTCTGCTTCTGACGGCTGCAGTGTCCAAGGCCTCTCTCCCTGACCGTGCCCAAGGCCCTGCTCGGTGTCATCCTTTTCTTAGTGTGGATTTTCCTCACTCCTGTGAAAACCACACAGAAATTCCTCCATGTTTTCATTTGGAGGCAGAGGAAAAGCACAATATACGAATTTATTTTCATTATTTTCACATTTTTGATCTCTCTTTAATGCACAGCAGACTGCAGGCCAGCACCTCTCCCTGAGAGTGCCCAAGGCCCTGCTCAGTGTCATCCCTTTTTAGTGGATTTTCCTTGCTCCTGTGAAAAACACCTGGAAATTCCTCTATGTTTTGATTTGAAGTAGGGGAAAAGCACAATATTTGAATTTATTTCTGTTATTTTTACATTTCTGATGCCTCTTTTATGCACAGAAGGCAGCAGTGTCCAAGGCCTCTCCCTGAGAGTGCCCAAGGCCCTGCTCAGTGTCATCCTTTTTTTAGTGTGGATTTTCCTCACTCCTCCTAAAACCACATGGGAATTCTTCTATGTTTTCATTTGGATTGGGGGAAAAGCACAATATTTGAATTCATTTCCATTATTTTCCTGTGAAAACCACATGGAAATTCCTCTATGTTTTGATTTGGAGGCAGGGGGAAAGCACAATATTTGAATTTATTTCCATTATTTTCTGCTTCTGACACCTCTTTCATGCCCAGCAGGCTGCAGTGTCCAAGGCCTGGGGGCCCAGCCATGACTTTTCCTGGGGGAGATCCCTCTCTTTTCCTCTGTTATCTCTTTCTGGGCTCTGTTATCTCTCCAAGGCTTGTACAGGAACCAGCCTGGCTTGTCAAGGACACTGGGGCTCCCTCCCCCAGCGAGGCTTTTATAGCAGAGAGAAGCTGGGATTGAAGTGAAAAAAAATATTAAAAATAAAATATTACATTATTATTATTACATAAATTATATTAACTATAATATTGAATAATATTAAATATTAATATTATTCAATATTAAAATGTATTAATTTATTTTATTAAAATATAATAATATTAAAAGGAAAATTCGTGCTTTTCAGCCCCACCAATGTATTTGTTTTGTCTACAAGTGACACCACAGCTTTGAGGACACGGGGCTGGCCTTGGCTGGGTGGCACAGATGGCATTTACAGTTTAACAAGGAGCAAGGTTTATCCAAACACTCCGTGCTCACCCGGGTTCCCAGACTGGCCTGAAACATTTCCTCCCCAGAAAAGGGATCAGAGCTTGCACTGAGGCAGGAATAATCTGTTTATTGCACTTGGGACCTCCCTATTCTGTTGCCTTTTTCTTAACTTGGAAGTGAAATTGGAGAGCATTTTAATAAGGAGGTAACATAAAACTGGATTTTTGTTTGAAGGTTTTTCAGGGGCAGTTATGGAAAAGTTTAATTTTTTAGGGGAAAAGCAAAGACTGGGATGATCCCTTCCCTCAGCTGGGAAGCAGAGCCAGGCCAGGAGGATCTCACAGACCCCACAGATCCCCCAGCCCCCACAGATCCCACCCACCTGGGGCTCTGAGATCATCAGGAAGGGTCAGGATGAAAGGTTTTGCAGGATTTCCCTTTCCAGGAGAGAGGGATCAAAAAATAATCATGTTTCTATATTTATTTAAATAAAAATAATACTGATCACAGCCCCTGCTGTGCTTGCAAACCCTCTGGTCCCTCAAATGTTGGCTCCTCCTCACCCCCCTCCCTGTGGCTGCTTTCCCTTCCCATCCCAGGGGGAAATATGGGACATTCCCCCATACACACAGGGCCCTCCAAGGATGGGTGCAGGGCTGGTTTAAGGTTTAATCCCAGCTTAGTGCAGTCAGGGTTTGCTCCCTCCCTCCCAACCACGTGACCCTCGCAGGGCTTTAAATAAATCAGATTTCCACCCCTTCAGCCCAGGGAGGTTTTGTGCCTTTAATGCCAAACTGTGGCACTGCTGCTCCAAAGCTTTGTCCTGGGGGAAGCCCTGGCCATAGCTGGGACTGGGAGTGACTGGAGGGGGAGCAGGAGGTCAGCAGCAACATCTCCTCTCCTTCCATCCCTGCTCTGCAGGAAAATCTGTCCCAGGGTGGTTTGGGGCTGGTTCAGGAGCAGTGGCAGCTCCAAGGAGCTGCTGGAGCAGAGCTGGGATCCTGCTGGGAGAGGATGGAGCTTTAATCCCACTGAAGGCTCTCCAGCTCTTCCTCCAGGATGTGGAAATCCAGGTGTCTCCAAGCTGTGGAGCAAAACAGGCAGAGATTTCAGGTTTTTTTCCAAGTCCTTTTGTCAAGACAAAACATTTCCACTCTCCTCAAAAACGCATGGCAAAGAGCCGAGCTCTTAATTGCTCTGAGTGCTCTTGGTGCTGCTGCTCCTCCACAGAAACCTGGGGTTTTGTTTAGATTCCAACTGTTTCGTGGGGATTTTCTTTTTTTCTGGGAAATTTAATCCTGTCCAGAGCCTTTGAGGCCAGGATCCCTCTGGAAAGGATTTTCTCAAGGATCCGACTTCCCCTTTTTCTCTGCACTGTTTCTGTGCTGCTCTTTGTCCCCCTCCTTTCCCGTGTGCCAGAGGTGGCTGCATTTCTCAAATTCCTCGGGGCTATTGGGTGTCCAGGATGTCATTCCTGGTGCTTTAAATATCTTTATGGAAAGGGGAGCTGGGCTGGGATCCCTGTGCTCAGCTGTCCCTGCTGAGCTGTGTCACCCCCCTGGGTCAAACCCTGCAGCTCAAGGCATTCCTTTCCCAAATACCCTCATTTTGCACCCAAACTTCCTCTCAGCCTCGTTCTCCTGTACCAGGAAGAGGCCTTGGGGCACTGGAGGAAAATTCCTGTTCAATAGAGAGTGGAAAACCTTTCCCACTTCCAGCCTTTCTGGAGTAAACCAGCAGTGCAGGGCACCTGCTGATCCAGGGGCTGTGACTCCCTGAGTGCAGGGATCCCCAGAATCCTCAGAACTGAGTCTGAGGAAGAAATTCCTGCTCAGTTTTGCTGATATTTCCCATTTCCAACCCTTCTGGAGTGAACCAGCAGTGCAGGGCACCTGCTGATCCAGGGGCTGTGACTCTCTGAGTGCAGGGATCCCCAGAATCCTCAGAACTGAGTCTGAGGAAGAAATTCCTGCTCAGTTTTTCCTGACATTTCCCACTTCCAACCCTTCTGGAGTGAACCAGCAGTGCAGGGCACCTGCTGATCCAGGGGCTGTGACTCCCTGAGTGCAGGGATGCTCAGAATCCTCAGAATCCTCAGAACCCAGGCTGCTCCTGCCCTGGGGATGCTGCAAGTACCAGGGAAGCACTGACACGACCCTGGCAGGGTGGGGACAATGCCAGCCCTGAGCTCTCCCAGCACTGGGGTGGCCCAACTGGCCAGCAGTGGCCCCATTGTTGCTGCAGCTGAGCTCTGGCCACTTGTCCCAGGTTAGGGAATAAGTGCCCAGTGTTCTGAGCTGCTGGAATAATGGCTGGCATTGGGATGCCTCGCTCAGAGCTGCCCTGAGCTCACCAGGAGCCCAGGCAGAGCTGAGGGCACAGAGAAAGGCAAAATATCCCAGAACAAAGGTCCTTTGTGTGCTCCCGTTACTGGGCTCCTTGTCAGCTCCAAACCCAAGTGGGAATGTGCATCCAGCCAAGGGCTGCCCTTCCCTCCCATCCCTGCAGCCAGCACAGGTTGGAATCCCATCCCTGGGAGAGGCCAAGGGCAGCTTGGAGCAACCTGAGGATGTCCCTGCTGAGGGAATGGGATGAGATCTAAGGTCCCTGTTCATGGGAATGGGATGGGCTCTAAGATCCCTGTTCATGGGAATGGGATGAGATCTAAGATCCCTGTTTATGGGAATGGGATGGGCTCTAAGGTCCCTGTTTATGGGAATGGGATGAGCTCTAAGATCCCTGTTTATGGGAATGGGATGGGCTCTAAGGTCCCTGTTTATGGAAATGGGATGAGATCTCAGATCCCTGTTCATGGAAATGGGATGAGCCTCAGGATCCCTGTTTATAGAAATGAGATGAGCCTCAAGATCCCTGTTTATGGAAATGGGATGAGCCTCAAGATCTCTGTTTGTGGGAATAGGATGAGCTCTAAGACCCCAGCCCATGGGAATGGGATGTGCTCTAAGATCCCTGCTCATGGAGATGAGATGAGCTCCAAGATCCCTCCCAACCCACCCCATCCTGTGCTTCCATGAGTCTACAATGACCTGGCAGGAAGTTTTCCATGGATTCACCTTTCCCAGGCCATCATCCTGTTCTCCTGCCTCTCAGGACGTGGCTTTGTCTCTTAACAAGGAATTCCTGGCTGGAATTCTGCAGGGTGGGACGGGAACGCTGTGAGCCCAGGGTCTCACATTCCCCAGGCTCTCACCTCCCAAGGGAATTCAAACCAGCTGGCAGGGGGGAGGATGCCTTGCCATCATTCCTGATTTATCCCTGTGGCATTCCAAGGGTTTGAGATAGGAATTGTTTTCTTTTTCTCTGAGGCTTCTCAGCTTCCCAGGAGGAAAAATCGTGGGCAGAGGGATTTTAACAGAGAATGTGAAGTGCTACAGGTTGGATATTAGGAAAAGGCTTTTTTTACAGCAAGAGTGGTAAAGTTCTGGAATGTTCTGCCCGGGGAGGTGGTGGAGTCCCCATCCCTGGGGGTGTTTAACAAAGCCTGGATGTGGCACTGGGTGCCAGGGTTGAGCTGTTGGGGCTGGGATAGACTCCATGATCTTTAAGGTCTCTTCCAGCCTGGTGGTTCTGTGAAATCCGTGAATTCCAGCAGGGTTGGTTGGGCCCTGCAGCCACACACAGCGTTGCAGGATTGCCGTGTTTGCTGAGCAAATAAAAGCTCCACGAGGAGGAGCAGAATTCCCCATTTCTCCGGGCCTTGCAGGAGTGAATCGCTGCCACCTCACAGCCAGGAGCACCGAGTGCTGAATAGGCCTTTTCAGTTTGCCTTGTAAACACCACTGGTAATCTCTCCGGGGATTAAAACATAAATAAATAAATAAACAAACAAACAAAAAACGGTTTAAAACAAGGAAACTTTTCCCTCCGAGCCTTCCTCTCTTTCGGCTGGGAAATGGGGGCAGGAATCTGGTAAAATGGTAAGGAAAAAAAGCAGAGAATTGATAATTTTTGAGAGGCAATAATTAGTGCTGGAAAGCTTTGCTGGAGGAGGGAGGGGGCAGCTCCATACTCTGGTGATGTCTAAAATACCTGGCTCAGGAATTCCAGAAGCTGTAGAAACTCAGGAGAAATCCATTCCCATGCAGAACAATTCACCGAGGAGCTGCAAAGGTGATTTCCGGACACAGCCTTGAGGGCGACATTTAAAGGATCCTTAACTCCTTGTCTGGCTCCCGTGAGGAGTTTTCCTGCTGGGATTCACCTTTGGGGCTCTTTGAAGTGTTCCAGCCGGGTATTTACCCTCCACCCCAGTTCCAGTAAATGCAGATCACTCGCCCTGCTGGCTTTAATCCTGGTTTTTGACCGGGTTCCAAGCAGGGTGATTTCATTTTTATGCCTAAATTCCTCATTGCCGTGTGAAACTGCTCCTTCCCCTCGTGTCATGTTCCTGCCTGCTGTTAATTATCCGGCTCTCGCTCTGCATCCCCGGCAGCATCCAGGGATTGCTGCCGTTCCTGCCAGGCTGTAAAAGCAAAAGTGACAAAAGTGATGTCATGGCTTTGCTTAACAAGTGTCACTTTCCCTCGGAAAGTCAATAAATGCCGCCGCTTCCTTTAGCACACTGGGGGGGAAAAAACCCCACAAAATTAAACAAAATTAAACAAAATTAAACAAAATTAAACAAAGTTAAACAAAACAAGAGGTGGTCGCTAGGAGTTCCTCCTTTGAAATCCGTGCTGGGGAGAGCAGCTGTAAAAAGGGATTTTGTTTTTATCCCACAAGGAATGCGGCTGGATGGTGGGGGAAGCTTCTGGAACTCTGGGGGACTGTGGGGCACCCCACATTGCCCGGCCCGACCCTAAATTCCCCCTGGAATCCCACATTTCCTGCCCCAGCCCGACCCTAAATTCCGTCTGGTACAAAGGTTGTGGGTGCTTTGCTTGCAGCAAATCCCAGCTTTGGGACCCTGTATGGATCCCATATGGGACAGGGTGAGTTCCTGTCGGAGAGGAGCCTAGGGCTGGGGACAAGCACAATCCCATAAAACAATCCCATAAATCCCAGCTCACAATCCCATAAATCCCAGCTTTGGGATTCTGTATTCATATGGGACAGGGCAAATTCCTGTCGGGGAAGGAGAATTCCTGTCAGGGAAGGAGCTGAGGGTTGAGGACAACCACAATCCCATAAATCCCATAAATCCCAGCTCACAATCCCATAAATCCCAGCTTTGGGATCCTGTATCCATATGGGACAGGGCAAATTCCTGTAGGGGAAGGAGCCAAGGGCTGAGGACAAGCACAGTACCATAAATCCTATAAATCCCAGCTCACAATCCCATAAATCCCAGCTTTGGGATCCTGTATCCATATGGACAGGGCAAATTCCTGTCAGGAAAGGAGAATTCCTGTCGGGGAAGGAGAATTCCTGTCGGGGAAGGAGCCGAGGGCTGAGGACAAGCACAATCCCATCAATCCCAGCTCACAATCCCATAAATCCCAGCTTTAATGTGAACTCCGAGCAGGTCCAGGTGTAGCTGGAAAAATGAGCCCGGGGATGCGAGACCATGGGCAGGGAGAGGCTCGGGTGTGGCAGGAGAGGCTGCAGCGAGCCCGGGGCTATTTTTACCCCTCTCTCAGCTCCTCTCCTCTCCTCTCCCAGGTTTATATTTAGCAGCCTGGAGCTGCTGGCATTCCTGCAGGAAGGGTTTGGATTTGTGGAGCAGTTTTGTGGCAGTGAGGAGCTGATTCCCTGTAAACCATCCACAGCTTTTTAGGGAGGGGAAAGAAGATGGAGACACCACTTCTCCTCATCCTCCTCATTCACCCGAGTGTTTTTCCTGTTCCCTGCATCTTTCCTGGCTCAGATTTGATCCTGACCAAAGGACCAAAGGAGGTTATGGATGGAGACACCACTTCTCCTTGTTTTCCTCATTCACCCGAGTGTTTTTCCTGTTCCCTGCATCTTTCCTGGCCCAGATTTGATCCTGACCAAAGGATCAAAGGAGGTTATGGATGGAGACACCACTTCTCCTCATCCTCATTCACCCGAGTGTTTTAGCTGTTCCCTGCATCTTTCCTGCCTCAGATTTGATCCTGACCAAAGGATCAAAGGAGGTTATGGATGGAGACACCACTTCTCCTTGTTTTCCTCATTCACCCGAGTGTTTTTCCTGTTCCCTGCATCTTTCCTGGCCCAGATTTGATCCTGACCAAAGGATCAGAGGAGGTTATGGATCGGCTCAGTGGGGGATGATCAAAGCAGGAATTGCTCAGCCAAACACCTTCCCAAGATCCCAAAATCCTGCTTGATGTCCTTCTTATCCCATTCCAGCCCCTGCCAGGCTGGGACTTTGTCCCCAGCGTGGGACCAGGAGCTGGATTCATTTCTGGATCTCCTGAATCTTCTTTGGAGCCCAGAGCATCCTCACTGTGCCTGGGCACGTTCCTGCAGTGCTGGGAGAACATTCCAATGTCTGAAACCGGCAGTGGAGGTGTCTCAAACCCTCCGAGCTCCCTTCCCACCCCCGGCAAAGCCCCCCAGCCCCGACCCCAGGCACGGCACGGCCGAGCCTTCAGCCTCAGGAAGGTGGGAGCTGAGCGGGGGCAGGGAATCGCCGGGATTCAGGTGAATTCCCGGGATTTTCGGGGGATTCACCCACTGCGGGGTGCCGTGCCTCACCGCAGAGCCTGGCAGGCGCCCAGCCGAGTGTTTATATTGCTGAGGGATCATCTTTTAAAGCTTTCACAGGCAGGCACGCCGGGCAGGGCGGTGCCGTTGTCCTGGCGACGGGGATGCGGAGTGAGATCAGTCTGGAACGCTGCGATCGCCCTTGGGCCGTGCTGATGAGGCTGGGAGGGGGCTGGGGGGGCTCTGGGGACAGCCAGGGGAGAGCAGGAGCGGGGACACCCAGGGGGAAGAGGAGACACCCAGGAGGAAGAGGCTGAGTTGCTCCAGACACGGGATGTGCAGGGAAAAGCCGCTCCTTGTTGGGAAAATCATCCCTGAGAAGTTTGGGGATGATTGAGCTCTTCAGATTGGGGTGGGGGCTGAGAGCAGTGTTAGAGTCCACGGAGGTGCTGATAAACCTGGGAAGGGTCTTGGGGGGCTCTGGGGACAGCCAGGGGAGAGCAGGAGCAGGGACACCCAGGGGGAAGAGGCTGAGCTGCTCCAGACACGGGATGTGCAAGAAAGAGCTGCTCCTTGTGGGGAAAATCATCCCTGAGAAGTTTTTGGGGTCTGTTTGGTACCAAGGGGTGGTTGAGCTCTTCAGACTGGGCTGGTGGATGAGAGCAGTGTTAAAGTCCAGGGTGGTGCTGATAAACCTGGGAGGCTCTGGGGACAGCCAGGGGAGAGCAGGAGTGGGGACACCCAGGGGGAAGAGGCTGAGCTGCTCCAGACATGGGATGTGCAGGAAAGAGCCGCTCCTTGTGGGGGAAAAAACATCCCTGAGAGGTTTTGGGGTCTGGCACCAAGGGGTGATTGAGCTCTTCAGACTGGGTTGGGGGGTGAGAGCAGTGTTAGAGTCCAGGGTGGTGCTGATAAACCTGGGGGGCTCTGGGGACAGCCAGGGGAGGGCAGGAATGGGGACACCCAGGAGGAAGGGAGGAAGCTGCTCCAGTGGTCTGGGATGTGCGGGAAAGAGCCGCTCCCTGTGGGGAGAACAAACGTCCCTGAGGGGTTTTGGGGTCTGGTACCAAGGGATAGTGCTGCCAGGATGCTGCCAGGATGATTGAGCTCTTCAGACTGGGTTGGGGGGTGAGAGCAGTGTTAGAGTCCAGGGCTGTTGATGGAAAATCCCCTGGTGGGGATGTCCAGAGGATGAAGGATGCAGGAGGAGCAGCCCCACACTTCTGGGCTTGGGAAGAGGAGAGGAACAGACCCAAACCTGCTCAGGCCTGAGGCTGGAAGGGGCAAAGCTGTGGCTGGTTGGGGGTGGGACACTGATGTCCCATCCCTGGCAGTGCCCAAGGCTGGGTTGGACAGGGTCTGGAGCAACCTGGGACAGGGCATGGCGTGAGATGAATCCCAAGGTTCCTGCAACCAAACCGGTCTGGGATTCTGGGATTTCGTGTCTGTAAATCCAAGGAGTGCCTGATCCCTGCTGGATCCGTGCTGGGCAGGAGGAATTGCAGCAGGGCTGGAGCCCAAACCCCACACAGGGAGCACTTCCAGCCTGATCCTGGCAAGAACCAAAGCAGCAAAGGCAAAGCCGCGCCCGGGGCCGGCTCCGTGCCCCGAGGGTTTTCTTCCTTTAAGGGTTTTATTGCCTTAATCTGATCTGCGGTTAAGGCGATTCTGACGCCCAGCGGGAGGAGGCCCCGGGAGCTGGGATGGAGCTGGGATGGAGCTGGGATGGAGCTGGGATGGAGCTGGGATGGAGCTCAGAGCATCTCCCAGGCTGGGATTTGGGGCATCCCCCCTGCCCGTGCTGCCCCTCTCAGCATTTCGCTGCTGGCTCTTTGTTGCAAGGGCAAAGCTGAGGCCACACTGCCAGGGGAGAGGAATCTCCTTTTCCAGTGAGAAACGTGGGATTGAGTCTTTTCCATCCTTGTTTTGTCTTTTTCTTGCTTTCCTTCTGTTTTCACCCTGCATTCCCCCCTGCTCAGGCATTCCTGGAGTTTCCAAGGCACAGCCTGTGAGTGACTGAGTGTGCACAGCCCTGCCCTGGGCTCAAAAAAAAAATCACAAAAAATCACCCTCCCTGCCCCTGCTGATCAGAGCCTTAAAAACACAAAGAGCCCAATTTCTGTGGCTCCTCTTCTGCTCTGACCCAGAGAAAGGATGTCCCAGGAACCCCTGGTGGAGGGGGGGAAAATTCATGTCCGGACATTGCCAACCCCAAAGAGCAGCAGTTGTAGGGTGGGAATTGTGGTGAGGATGCTGCCAACCCCAAAAAGCAGCAGTTGTGGGGTAGAAATCAGGTCAGGATGCTGCCAACCCCAAAACCAGCAGTTGTGGGGTGGGAATTGGGGTCAGGACATTGCCAACCCCAGAAAGGAACAGCTGTGGGGTGGGAATTGGGGTGGAGATGCTGCCAACCCCAAAAAGCAGCAGTTGTGGGGTAGAAATTCAGGTCAGGATGCTGCCAACCCCAAAAAGCAGCAGCCTTGGGGCTGGGGGCCCATCCTGGTGCTGTCCATCCCTCCGAGCCTGCTGTCCCCTTTCCCTGCAGGGCTCTGCCGTCCCTGGCAGCTCCAGGGAAGATGAACAAGATGAAAAACTTCAAGAGGAGATTTTCGCTCTCGGTGCCGCGCACGGAGACCATCGAGGAGTCCCTGACGGAGTTCACCGAGCAGTTCAACCAGCTCAACAACCAGAGGAATGAAGGTGAGGAGCCCCTGGGCTGGGTGAGAGCCTCTCCAGCCCTCCCCAGGCACCCTCGGGGGCTGTGGAAGCGTCTGCCCCTCGTTCTGTGTGAGTAACACCTTGGTTAAAGCTGCAGAGAGATTTATCCTTCACCAGGAGGATGGGAGGGAAAGGAATTTGCACAAAATGGGGAGCTGTGGTTAAGGTGGAGAGTGGGAACGTGTGGGATCTCCTCCTGCCTCCCCAAAAGAGGGGGGTGACCCCTTTGGGGGCTCAGCTGCTGTTCCCAGAGCCACAGGGGCTGTTCTGTCCTGGGCAGCACCCGGGGCTCGCTGGAGCAGCCTTTGCCCCTCCCTGCATGTTGGTTTTCAGCAGGCAGGGAGATGAAGGGTTAAATCCAAACCTGGCTCATCCCCTGAACAAACACAACCCCCAGGGCAGGCCGGGGCACATCTCAGGGAGATGAGGGGTTAAATCCAAAGCAGGGCACATGCCCTGAGCAAACACAGCCCCTGGAGCAGGCAAGGGCAGAGCCAGGGCTTAAACCCAAAGCTGGGCACAGATGCAGGCTGGGGCAGGCTCAGGGCAGGCTGGGGATGCTGCAGGCACTGGGAGCAGCCCAGCCTGGGCAGCCGTGCTTGGGCAGAGCTTGGGCAGGGCTGGGCTGGGCTTGGGCAGAGCCTGGCAGAGCCAGACAGAGCCTGGGGAGCCAGGCAGAGCTGGGCTGGGCTCAGGGAGCTGGGCAGAGCCTGGCAGAGCTGGGCAGAGCTTGGGGAGCCAGGCGGAGCTGGGCTGGGCTCAGGGAGCTGGGCAGAGCCTGGCAGAGCTGGGCAGAGTCTGGGAAACCAGACAGAGCCAGGCAGGGTTGGGCAGAGCCTGAGGAACTGGGCAGAGCTCTTGGGGAGCCGGGCAGAGCTGGGCAGAGCTTGGGCAGAGCCAGGCAGGGCTTGAGGAGCTGGGCAGAGCTGTGCTGGGCTCAGAAAGCTGGGCAGAGCTGGGCTGGGCTTGGGCAGAACTTGGGGAGAGCCTGGGGAGACCCTGGAGAGTCTGGGGAACCAGGCAGAGCTGGGCAGGGCTTGGGGAGCCGGGCAGAGCCTGGGGAGAGCCTGGGGAACCAGGCAGAGCTGGGCAGAGCATGGGGAGCCAGGCTGGGCTTGGGGAGCTGGGCAGAGCCAGGCTGGGCTCAGGGAGCCGGGCAGAGCCTGGGCAGAGTCAGGCAGAGCTGGGCAGAGCCTGGGGAGAGCCAGGCAGGGCTCGGGGAGCCAGGCAGAGCCAGGCTGGGCTCAGGGAGCCGGGCAGAGCCGGGCTGGGCTCAGGGAGCTGAGCAGAGCCTGGAGAGAGCCAGGCAGAGCTGGGCAGGGTTTGGGGAGCCAGGCTGGGCTCAGGGAGCCGGGCAGAGCCAGGCTGGGCTCAGGGAGCCGGGCAGAGTCAGGCAGAGCTTGGGGAGCCGGGCAGAGCCAGGCTGGGCTCAGGGAGCCGGGCAGAGCCAGGCTGGGCTCAGGGAGCCGGGCAGAGTCAGGCAGAGCTTGGGGAGCCGGGCAGAGCCGGGCTGGGCTCAGGGAGCCGGGCAGAGCCAGGCTGGGTTCCCTCCTGGGGTCAATGCCAGGCACACGCTGTGCTGCCTCCTGCCAGCTGTGCCACAGCCTGGCCCTTCCCGTGCCCCCAGCTCCCTTCCAGGCTGTGTTTGCCCTCTCTGAAGGGGCTGAGCCCTGATGTCAGTGCCTGGCACTGGCACTGCCCAGCAGGGAGGGCCCGGCTGTGCCAGCCAGGCTGCCCAGGGTGCTGGAAGCTCGTTCAGGGCTGCAGCTTTCCCCTTCCTGGCAGGATCTCTGTCCTTGTGTCCCTCTGTGTCCCCATGATCCAGAGCCAGCCCTGGTGACAGCCAGGGCCAGCTCAGGTGGTCCTGGCTCCAGGGACAGGGGCAGATCCCAGCAGGGATCAACACCTGCGCTCTCCTTTCCTCAGGGAATTGCCTGGAGTTTGGTTTCCCTCCAGCCTCAGAAATCCCAGGCTCTGAAAATCCCAAACTTTGGTGGCTCTGAGTGCCAGAATCACAAAATCAGGGAAGATTTGGGTTGGAAGGGACCCCAAAGCTCCTCCCATTCCACTTCCACCATCCCAGGCTGCTCCAGAACTGCTCTGGCTCCTGTGAGGGGACAGGCAGGGGACAAAGCTGCCCCATCTGGTGAGAAATCCCCAGCCCTGTCCTCCCCATCCCCTCATTCTCACCACCTCACCCCCACAGATGCTGATAGAAGAAGGAAAACAGGTTTGTTTGTTTGTTTGTTTGTTTTCCAGGCTGGAAAATCAAACAGCTTTCCAGCCTGGACACATGCTGTCACCAGCAATGTCACCTTGGAGGAACCTGAGGCTGTTTGTCACAGAGGGATCAGGGCTTGGTGGCTTTGATAAGAGCTGGGGGCATCCAGAAGCAGCCCCCAAACACCCACAGCCTGCTCTACCCTCCCAAAATTCAGTGTTTGGGCTGGAAAGGACAAACCAGAGCCACCAGGGGAACACCAGGCCCTGAAGAAATGATGATGAGGGGGAGGAAGGAGGGTGAAGAACCCAAGCTCAGAGCCTGGAGAGGAGGCAAAGAAATTCCAAGTTCTAATTCACACTCAGCAAAAGAATTCAAAGTTCTAAGGCAGGCAGGCAGAGGAGGGTCCTGGCCCCTTTCCTTGGGAGATCAAAGCTTGTTTGGGCAGAGGAGGAGTTGAAATATATAAATATATTTATAAAAAGGGCTGCCTGTGTCTGCTTCCCTTCCTTTGATACCGCAGCAGCCTCCTTCTTTCCCTGCCAGGGAATTCTGCCCGCCCACAGCTTCACCCTGCAAGGTCCTGCAGGGTCCTGCAAGCCCACAGATTCACACTCAGGTCCTGCAAGCTCACAGATTCACCCTGAGCTCCCTGCAAGGTCCTGCAAGGTCCTGCAAGCCTACAGATTCACACTCAGCTCCCTGCAGGGTCCTGCAAGGTCCTGCAAGCTCACAGCTTCATCCTGAGCTTTCTGCAGGGTCCTGCAAGCCCACAGATTCACACTCAGCTCCCTGAAAGGTCCTGCAAGCTCACAGCTTCACACTGAGCTCCCTTCAGGGTCCTGCAAGCCCACAGCTTCACACCAAGGTCCTGCAAGGCCACAGCTCCACACTGAGCTCCCTGCAAGGTCCTGCAAGCCCACAGCCTCACACTAAGGTCCTGCAAGCTCACAGCTTCACCCTGAGCTCTCTGCAGGGTCCTGCAAGCCCACAGCTTCACCCTGAGCTCCCTGCAGGGTCCTGCAAGCTCACAGATTCACCCTGAGCTCCCTGCAGGGTCCTGCAAGCCCACAGCTTCACTCTGAGCTCCCTGAAAGGTCCTGCAAGCCCACAGCTTCACTCTGAGCTCCCTGAAAGGTCCTGCAAGCTCACAGATTCACACTCAGCTCCCTGCAAGGTCCTGCAAGCTCACAGCTTCACTCTGCAGGGTCCTGCAAGCCCACAGATTCACCCTGAGCTCCCTGCAAGGTCCTGCAAGCCCACAGCTTCACCCTTCAAGGACCTGCAAGCCCACAGATTCACACTCAGATCCTGCAAGCTCACAGCTCCACCCTGAGCTCCCTGCAAGCGCCAGGGGCAGCTCCAGCCCTTGGGGATTGGGAATTTGCCGGTGGCAGAGCAGGGCAGGGAGGGCTGGGCTGGCCCATCCCTGCCCCAAGGCAGCCCAGACCCCTCTCCCCTCACCTCCGCCAGCCTCCTGTGAGTTTTTGCCTCATTTCCCCGTCCTTTAGGATCCACTTGTCAGGAAAATAACTCCACAAACAGCAGAGGTTTGTGCCCAAAGAGGAGACAGAGGAGTCCTTTGACTTTATTCCAATAAAGGGAGAGGCCATGGGGCATCCCCTGGGATCTCTCCCATTTTTGGATGGTGCAGCCTCCTTTTTATCCCAATTTCCCTCTCTCTTTCCCCATTTCTGAGATACTTGAGAGGTTCACAGTCCCCAAAACACCTGATACCAAAGATTCCCTTCTAATGTACAACCCTCCCTTTTCATTTTTAATTCTGATGGAATTTAGGGGTTTTCCCCACAGTTTCAATATCCAATTTCATTGATCAGCAAACCTAAAGTTTATTTGTAAAAGCAAATATCTTTTTCCATTCACCAACCAGTGGAATCCTTCCCATTGTTTATCTCTCATTTTTTTAAACACTCATCTGTTTATCTCCTGGTTTTATCTACCAGCAGCCCCACAGCTTGTTTGGAAACACAAATCCTCCATTCCTCTCACACTGGAAGTGTCCAGGTTGTGGATTTACCTCTGATTTTACATCAAACATGACAAAAGTTTGATCCACTGCTCTCAGAGCTGCTGGTTTGCAGGCTGCACCTTTTACCCAGCTTTGTTTTTGTTTCACCTATGGGAACCAGCACAAATTCACCCAAAATATCATTTCCAGCAGGTTGGTCGGCCTCCATTCAGCCAGACCTCAAACGTCCTTTGCTTTCCTTGATTAAAATTTGCTTGGCAAACGAGGAAGTTCAAAAAGATTCGGTCCAGTTGAATTAATCCACATTATTTTCATACCTGTGGTTAACTCGGGGGACGTTTCCTGATTGTTGCTGTAAAAACAGATGGAGGGGAATGGACAGGGAGCAGAGGAGGGGTTTTACCAAAGCCCTGGCACCGTTTCAGCCCCTCTGAAGCCCGCTGGCACTGAGGGCTGGGCACCCAGCATCCCCCAGCTCTGCCCTCCCTGTGCCCATGGCACAAACCCACGGCCCTTGCCAGGTCACTGGCCTGCCAGCTCTCATCCATCAGCCCAGCAAACTGCAGCCAGGGCCCAGCCCTGCTCAGCAGCCCTGAAAATCCAGCCCTGCCTCCACAGCCATGAGATCATCCCTGCAGCCGGGATTGTCCCCAGGGACAGGGCAGGGACAGGGCAGGGACAGGGCAGGGCTCAGCCTGGGGCACTCCCCGGGGACTTTCACTGCTCTGGGGAGGAAAAATCCCTCTGGGGGTGTTCCTAGGGACAGGGAAGGGATGAGAATCTTGACTCCATGCTTCAGAAGGCTGATTAATTATTTTATGATATATATTATATTATATTATATTATATTATATTATATTATATTATATTATATTATATTATATTATATTATATTATATTATATTTATTATATTATATTTATTATATTATATTACATTGCATTACATATTACATTACATTAGATTACATTAGATTACATTACATTATATATTACATTACATTACATTATATTACATTACATAATATTACATTACATTATATATTATATTATATTATATTATATTACTTTATATATATTATGCTACATTATATTACATATATTATATTACATTTTATTACATTACATTATATTATATTATATTACATTATATTACATTACATTATATATTATATTATATTATATTACATTTTATTACATTACATTATATTATATTATATTACATTATATTACATTATATTACATTACATTACATTATATTACATTACATTATATTATATTATATTATATTATATTATATTATATTATATTACATTACATTACATTTTATTACATTACATTAATTATTACCCTGATTTAACAAGCATTATTACACAGAGGCAGAGGCATTTTTTATTCTAATAAAAAGAAAGGCCCAAAGTAAGGGATACTAAAAGTGGCAGAGCACTTTTTAGTGATTTACATTTGGGATTTCTGTCACAGCCCTGTGGCAGGCAGGGTGTGACAGAAATCCCAAATTTCTTTGGCAATGCTGAGGGTGGCAGAGCCCCAGGAATCCTGAGCAAAACTCAGAATTCCCTCTGGATATAGAGAAGGAAGAAGAGATTGCCCAGAGCATCCCTGCCCCGCTCTGGCTCCTTGGTGCTCCTGCCACCCCTCCAGCAGCTCCCTCTTGTGAAAAACGCCAGTCACTTGTTTTTAAAAGTTTAAAAGTTTAATAGTAATAAAATGGTTATAAAAATAGTAATACAATTAGAGTAATAATAATTTGGACAAATTGCATTAGCACAATATGGGACAATAGAGACAAAGAGTTATGGACAGTCTGGGTACCTTTTCTGGACAGCACGAGCCCGAAAAAGGCCCCACGTTAAAAGAGGATTAACCCTTAAAAACAACAGCCTGTTGCATATTCATACACCTCATCCATGATGCATAAATTCCCTTCAAACACAGGATTCTGTCTGGGCAGGGTCAGCTTCTTCCTCTGAATCCTGACAGCACCTTGAGGTGGGAAGAAGTTCATTTGTTCTGATAATGGAGCAATAAATTCTCTTTCTCTGAAAGATTCAGGTGTCCCATGGCTGCTGTCTCACTGCGAGTCCTTTCTTTAAAAAAAATATCCTACATAGCATAGTTTCTATTTTAGCATTTTTTATAACCTAAAACAGTACTTAAGAGAATCAATACAGCATCACTTTCTAACACAACACATATAATATTCATTTGAATATTTGCGAAAAGCCAATCATAAAATACATGCATTTTTCACACTCTGCTTTCTTTTCGTCCCCAGACCTGGCTCAGGGGCACCTGCAGCTGGCACAGCTGGGCAGGGAGGTGGCAGCTGACGGCAGCCCCGTGTCCCCGCCTGAGGGACAGGGCCGGTCCCCGGTGGCCGCCGTGCGCTACCGCAACCACGGCCAGCGCCGCTGCTCCATGGAGGCAAGTGCTGGGGACAGGGGGACGTGGGGACAGCTGGGTAAGTGCTGGGGACAGGGGGACGTGGGGACAGCTGGGTGTCACCTCCCCGCTGGCTGGGACGTGGCAGTGTCACACACGAGCCCTGGCATCCTCTGCTGTGACTGCCACCGTGTGCCACCACACCCATCCCTTGAGTGGCACTGTGGTAGTTGAGAGGATTCCAGGACAAGGGAAGAGATGAAAATCACTCCATATTCTTAGAAGGCTGATTATTATATTATATTATATTATATTATATTATATTATATTATATTATATTATATTATATTATATTATATTATATTATATTATATTATATTATATTATATTACATTACATTACATTACATTACATTACATTACGTTACATTGAAAGGATACAGACAGAAGGCTACAAAGAATGATAATGAAAACAAATCACTCCTTCCAGAGTCCCAACACAGCTGGACTGTGATTGGTCATTAAGTTAAAACAATTCACATGAAAACAATCAAACAATCACCTGTTGGATAAACAATCTCCAACCACATGCCAGAGCAGCAAAACACAGGAGAAGCAAATCAGAAAATTATTGGTTTCCTTTTCTCTGAGGCTTCTCAGCTTCCCAGGAGAAGAATCCTGGGCAAAGAGGATTTTCCAGAAAATGTGACAGTGACACTGCCACGTCAATGGCAGAGCTCTTCCCCTTGGAATTCCTCGTGTCACCTCCCTGTCCTCTGTCCCCTTGAGGACAGGGGGTTGAGGGTTGAGGAGGTTCCAGGTTGAGGGTTCCGGGACGAGGGAAGAGATGAATCTGACTCCATACTCTTAGAAGGCTGAATATTACATTATATTATATTATATTATATTATATTATATTATATTATATTAATTCTATTTCAATGATGTGACACCTGCCACATTCCAAAGCAGCAAAACACAGGAGAAGCAAATCAGACAATTATTGGTTTCCCTTTTCTCTGAGGCTTCTCAGCTTCCCAAGAGAAGAATCCTGGGCAAAGAGGATTTTCCAGAAAATGTGACAGTGACACTGCCACGTCAATGGCAGAGTTCTTCCCCTTGAAATTCCTCGTGTCACCTCCCTGTCCTCTGTCCCCTTGAGGACAGGGGGTTGAGGAGGTTCCAGGTTGAGGGTTCCGGGACGAGGGAAGAGATGAATCTGACTCCATACTCTTAGAAGGCTGAATATTACATTATATTATATTATATTATATTATATTATATTATATTATATTATATTATATTATATTATATTTTTTCTATTTCAATGATGTGACACCTGCCACATTCCCAAGCAGCAAAATACAGGAGAAGCAAATCAGACAATTATTGGTTTCCCTTTTCTCTGAGGCTTCTCAGCTTCCCAGGAGAAGAATCCTGGGCAAAGAGGATTTTCCAGAAAATACGACGGTGACACCGCCATGTCAATGGCAGAGCTCTTCCCCTTGGAATTCCTCATGTCACCTCCCTGTCCCCTCTCTGTCCCCTCCTGCAGGACGTCAGCAGGCGCCTCTCGCTGCCCATGGACATCCGGCTGCCCCCGGAGTTCCTGCAGAAGCTGCAGATGGAGAGCCTGGAGCTGCCCAAGCCCCTGAGCAGGATGTCCCGCCGGGCCTCCCTCGTGAGTGGCACCGAGCAGGGGGGGACAGAGCCAGGCACGGCACCCCCGAGTGTCCCCTGTCCTGCTGTGCCAACTCCCCTGGCTGTCACCGAGGTCCCCTCACGTCCCTGCCCAGCCCCAGCCCTTCCTGCAGCACTGGGAGGAGCTGAGGGAGCTGGGAAAGGGTTTGGAGAAATCTGGGAAGGGTTTGGAGAGTCCTGAGGGAGCTGGGCAGGGGCTCAGCCTGGAGCAAAGGAGGCTCAGGGGGAATTTCTGGCTCTGCACAACTCCCTGCCAGGAGGGGACAGCCGGGGGGATTTGGGATCTTATCCCAGGGACCAGGGACAGGAGGAGAGGGAACGGCCTCAGGCTGGGCTGGGGAGGCTCAGGTTGGACAGCAGCAGGAATTTCCTCATGGGAAGGGCTGGAAGGGGCTGCCCAGGGGGGTTTGGAGCGCCCATCCCTGGAGGTGGCACCTGGAGGTGGCACTGAGTGCTCAGGGTGGGGATCGGGCACAGCCCGGACTCGATGATCCCACAGGGATTTTCCAGCCTCAATAATTCCATGATTCCATGATTCTCCCTTCCCCACCTGCACCTGCTGGGCCATTCCCACCTTCCTCCCTCCCCTGTGCACACCTGGCTGCCCTCTCAGCCTGGCTCCTTCCCAAAGCAGGAGAGGGAAACCCTCCTGCAGCTCAGCCCAAATGCAAATGTGGATAAATAATGAATCAGCCTCGGCTCCAGTGCTGGCATTTCCGTTCCTTTGCTGCAGCAGCAGAAATAGGAGCAAAAACTCTGTGCACAACAAAACAGGAGCAAAATCTCCCCGTGCAGACATCAGGTGTGCCCAGAGGTGCCCAGGCACCACAGCCAGGCCTCTGGAGGCATTTTGGGACCCGAGGTGCCCGTTCAGAAGGAGGAGGAGGAGGGAAGGAGAGCTGGAATTTACCTGCCTGTGCTGTCTGATCAATAAAACAAAGCCTGGGCAACGTGTCATTAATATTCATGAGCCCCTCATTAATAAGGAATGTGGCTCTGGGGGTTGTTCCAGCACCTTCACTCCCCTGCTCAGGATGTGGCTTTTCCCAGGATACACAGAGGGTTTGGGCAGTAAATGGAGTAAAAATCCCAATTGTCGGTGCCCAGTGTCCCTGGAAACCCTCCTGGAGGTGAAGCCAGCCCTGCAGGAGGTTCCCTCCTCCCCAGTGACGTTTTCCTTTCTCTCTCACAGTCGGATATTGGCTTTGGGAAGCTGGAAACCTACATTAAACTGGACAAACTGGGAGAGGTGAGTAGTCTGTGACACCCCTGTAAGGAATTCAATGAAATTCAAAGGGCAGCTCGAAGCACAAAGGGCAAAAATCCTCAATATCCAGAAATTTCCAGAGCAAGTTTTCCTTGTGGAGCTCAGACCTGCTGCTGTCACCTCCAATGGTCCTTCCTCCAGATGTTTTGGGCACACCAGTGCTGTGCCACCCTGGTGTTAGGAAAATCACTCCACAAACACCAGAGGTTTGTGCCCAAAAAGGAGACAGAGGAGTCCTTTGACTTTATTCCAATAAAGGGAGAGGCCATGGGGCATCGCCCTGGGATTTCTCCCATTTTTGGAGGATGCAGCCTCCTTTTTATCCCAATTTCCCAGCTGCATTTCCCTTCTCTCTTTCCCCATTTCTGAGGTACTTGAGAGGTTCAGACTTCCCAAAACGCCTGATACCAATGATTCCCCTCTAATGTACAACCCTCCGTTTTCATTTTTAATTCTTATGGAATTTAGGGGTTTTCCTTCCCCATTGCTTCTTTCATCTTTCAATGTCTAATTTCATTTATCAGCAAACCTAAAGTTTATTTGTAAAAGCAAAAGATCTTTTTCCATTCACCAATCAGTGGAATCCTTCCCATTGTTTCTTTTCTCTCCCAGTGCTGGTTTTATCTACCAGCAGACCCACAGCTTGTTTGGAAACACAAATCCTCCATTCCTCTCACACTGGAAGTGTCCAGGTTGCGGATTTACCTCTGATTTTACATCAAATATGACAAAGACTTTGATCCACTGCTCTCAGAGCTGCTGGTTTGAAGGCTGCACCTTTTACCCAGCTTTGTTTTTGTTTCACCTATGGGAACCAGCACAAATTCACCCAAAATATCATTTCCAGCAGGTTGGTCAGCCTCCATTCAGCCAGACCTCAAACGTCCTTTGCTTTCCTTGATTAAAATTTGCTTGGCAAACGAGGAAGTTCAAAAAGATTCGGTCCAGTTGAATTAATCCACATTATTTTCATACAGGGGACGTTTCCTGATTGTTGCTGTAAAAACAGATGGAGGGGAATGGACAGGGAGCAGAGGAGGGGTTTTACAAAATTGAATTAATCCTTGTTTGTAAAGACAAACCCAGCATTCCTCTCACTGTAAGAGGAATGTCGCTGTGATGGTATCTGCAGGGGTCACAGAATGAGGGAAGAGAGGAGGATCTGACTCCATGTTTCAGAAGGCTTGATTTATTATTTTATTATATATATTACATTAAAACTATACTAAAAGAATAGAAGAAAAGGTTGCATCAGAAGGCTGGCTGAGAATAGAATAGCAAAGAATGATAACAAAGGTTTGTGGCTCAGACAATCCGAGCCAGCTGGGCTGTGATTGGCCATTAATCAGAAACAACCCCATGAGCCCAATCCCAGATGCACCTGTTGCATCCCACAGCAGCAGATAACCATTGGTTACATTTTGTTCCTGAGGCCTCTCAGCTTCTCAGGAAGCAAAAACCCTAAGGAAAGGATTTTCCATGAAAAGATGTCAGCGACGTGTCCCCATGTCCCCAGGGCACCTACGCCACGGTGTTCAAGGGCCGCAGCAAGCTGACAGAGAACCTGGTGGCGCTCAAGGAAATCCGCCTGGAGCACGAGGAGGGCGCTCCTTGCACGGCCATCCGGGAAGGTGAGGCCGGCAGGGGCCTCCCCCAGACCCCCAGGGGGATTTGGGGTGGCTGTGCCCCTGCTCAGCCCCGGCTCCTGCCCCGCTGTCCCTGCAGTGTCGCTGCTCAAGAACCTCAAACACGCCAACATCGTCACCCTGCACGACATCATCCACACCGAGCGCTGCCTCACCCTCGTCTTCGAGTACCTGGTGGGTCTGGGGGCCTCTCTGGGGGCTGGGGGGGGCGAGGGAAGGACAGACTGACACGTCCTTCCCTCTGCAGGACAACGACCTCAAGCAGTACCTGGAGAACTGCGGGAACCTGATGAGCGTGCACAACGTGAAGGTGAGGGGCGTGCAGGGACCCCTGCCCTGTTCCTCGTCCTGACTGGGGGGTTTGGGGCTGGGAGAGGCTGGGGATCCCCTCAGATCTTGCTCTTTTTGCCCTTTCTGAGGCTGGAGATCCCTTCATCCTTCATTCCTTGCTCCTTTTGCCCTTTCTGAGCCTGGAGATCCTTTCACCATTCATTTCCTCCTCCCTTTGCCCTTTCTGAGGCTGGAGATCCCCTCACCCTCCAGTTCCTGCTCCTTTTGCCCTTTCTGAGGCTGGAGATTCCTTCATCCTTCAGTCCTTGCTCCTTTTGCCCTTTCTGAGCCTGGAGATCCCTTCATCCTTCATTCCTTGCTCCTTTTGCCCTTTCTGAGCCTGGAGATTCCTTCACCCTCCAGTTCCTGCTCCTTTTACCCTTTCTGAGGCTGGAGATCCCCTCACCCTTCATTTCCTCCTCCCTTTGCCCTTTCTGGGGCTGGAGATCCCTCCAGTTCTTGCTTCCTTTGCCCTTTCTGAGCCTGGAGATCCCTTCACCCTCCAGTTCCTGCTCCTTTTACCCTTTCTGAGGCTGGAGATCCCCTCACCCTTCAGTCCTTGCTCCCTTTGCCCTTTCTGGGCCTGGAGATCCTTTCACTTTCCAGTTCTTGCTTCCTTTGCCCTTTCTGAGCCTGGAGATCCCCTCACCATTCAGTTCCTGCTCCCTTTGCCCTTTCTGAAGCTCCCCCAGCATTTCCACCCTAAATAAAAATCCCTGCACATTCACACTTCACTCATCCCATTCCGTGACACTTTCCCAGAACACAGCTCCAAGGGGTCTTTCCTGCCCACAACATCCAAATTCCTCAAGGCAGGTTGATTTTTAGTCCTAAATGCATCCTCATCCTCCTCTTCCTCCTCTGTGGTGGTATTTGTGGGTCCCCAGGACGAGGGAAGAGATGAGAATCTTGACTCCATGTTTCAGAAGGCTGATTTATTATTTTATGATATATATTGTATTATATTATAGTATAGTATAGTATATTATAGTATATTTATTATAGTATATTTATTATATTTTATTATATTTATTATAGTATATTTATTATATTTTATTATATTTATTATAGTATATTTATTATATTAATATATTAAAACTATACTAAAGAAAAGAGAAAGAAGACATCAGAAGGGTGGAAAAGGAAGGAATGATAATAAAATCTTGTGACTGCTCAGAGTCCCAACACAGCTGGACTGTGATTGGCCATTTATTAAAAACAACCACATGAGACCAATCAAAGATGCACCTGTTGCATCCCACAGCAGCAGATAATTCTTGTTCACATTTCATTTCTGAGGCCTCTCAGCTTCTCTCAGGAGAAAAATCCTAGCGAAAGGATTTTTTCAGAAAATGTCTGTGACAATTCTCCTCCTCCTGCAGATCTTCATGTTCCAGCTGCTCCGTGGCCTGGCTTATTGCCACAGCAGGAAAATCCTGCACCGAGACCTCAAACCCCAGAACCTGCTCATCAACGAGCGAGGGGAGCTCAAGCTGGCTGATTTTGGTAGGTGAAGCCCTCCAGGGTTGTGATGCAGGATTGGGAAAAAAAGGGGGGCAGCTCCTTGATGCGTGTCCCTGCCACCCTCAGGATTAGCCAGGGCCAAGTCTGTCCCCACCAAAACCTATTCCAACGAGGTGGTGACGCTCTGGTACCGGCCCCCCGATGTCCTGCTGGGCTCCACCGAGTACTCCACGCCCATCGACATGTGGTGAGCACCGGGGGCTCTCCAGGACGGGTCGGGCGCTTCCATCCTCATCCTCACCGTGCTGGCTACAACAGAGGCTGGGGGGCTCTCCCAGGGCTGTTTCCCCACCCCCAGGGCTCTCCCAGAACAGTTTCCCTGTGCCCTGAGGCTGTTTACACAAGAGGGTTTGGGGCTCTCCCCGAGCAGATTTCCCTGTCCCTTGGGGCTCTCCCAGAACAGTTTCTCTGTCCTTGGGGCTCTCCCAGTGCAGATTTCCCTGTCCCCATGTCCCCAGGGCTCTCTCAGAACAGTTTCTCTGTCCTTGGGGCTCTCCCAGAACAGTTTCTCTGTCCCTAGGGCTCTCCCAGTGCAGATTTCCCTGTCCCCAGAGCTCTTCCAGAGAAGATTCCCCTGTCCTTGGGTCTCTACCTGTCCCCATGTCCCCAGGGCTCTCCCAGTGCAGATTTCCTTGTCCCCCTGTCCCCAGGGTTGTCCCAGTGTGGATTCCTTGTCCCCATGTCCCCAGAGCTCTCCCAGAGCAGATTTCCCTGTCCCCCTGTCCCCAGAGCTCTCCCAGTGTGGATTTCCCGTCCGTCCCCCTGTCCTCACAGCTCTCCCAGTGAAGTTTTCCCTATCCCTAGGGCTCTCCCAGTGCAGATTTTCCTGTCCCCGGAGCAGATTTCCCTGTCCCCATGTCCCCAGAGCTGTTTCCCCATCCCCTGGGTCTCGGGGTCGCTCCGTGCCATCCCCACCCCGCTGGGAGCGGTTCCACCTCCCGGAGCCGGTCCCGCTCCACCCGCGGGCTTTGTCCCCCGTGACCCCGGGTGTCCCCTGCCCTGCAGGGGGGTCGGCTGCATCCACTACGAGATGGTGACGGGCCGGCCGATGTTCCCGGGCTCCACGGTGAAGGAGGAGCTGCACCTCATCTTCCGCCTGCTGGGTGAGCGCCGTGCGCTGAGCGCGCTCCCCGCGCGGGGGCACTGCCTGCCCGGGGAACGGGAGCGGGAATGGGAACGGGGAACGGGGAGCGGGGAACGGGGAACGGGGAGCGGGAATGGGGATGGGAGCGGGAATGGGAATGGGAACGGGGAGCGGGAATGGGAACGGGAACGGGAGCGGGAATGGGGATGGGAACGGGAACGGGAGCGGGAATGGGGATGGGAACGGGAATGGGAGCGGGAATGGGGATGGGAATGCGAACGGGAGCGGGAATGGGGATGGGAAAGGGAGCGGGAATGGGAATGGGGAACGGGGAGCGGGAATGGGAAGCGGGAATGGGAATGGGAACAGGAATGGGACCGGGAATGGGGATGGGACCGGGAACGGGAATGGGAACGGGAATGGGAACGGGAATGGGAATGGGGAACAGGAGCAGGAACGGGAATGGGAACAGGTGCGGGAGCAGCAATGGGAATGGGAGCGGGAACGGGAATGGGAACGGGGAATGGGAATGGGGAACAGGAACGGGAATGGGAACAGGTGCGGGAGCAGGAATGGGAGCGGGAATGGGAATGGGGAGCGGGGACGGGAGAGGGAACAGAACAGGAGCGGGAATGGGAACGGGAACCGCACTGGGAGCAGGAATGGGACCGGGAGTGGGAAGGGGAACGGGAGCGGGAATGGGAACGGCACCAGGCAGGGCAGGGTGGGATGGGATAATGGGATGGGGTGGGATGGGATAGACAGGAATGAACATGGATGGGGTGGGATGCAGTGGGAAGGAGGGAAAAGGGATGGGATGAGCTGGAGTGAACAGGGATAGGATGGGATGGGATCCATGGGAAGGAGGGAACAGGGATGGGATAGACAGGAATGAACAGGGATGAGGTGGGAAGAAGGGAACAGGGATAGGATGGGGTGGAGAGGAATGAGCAGGGATGAAGTGGGATGCGGTAGGAAGGAGGGAAAAGGGATGGGATGGAGTGGGATGGGCAGGAATGAAAGGGGATGGGATGGGGTGAGAAGGGGTGGGATGAAACAGCCTGGGGTGGGCTGACATGGGCAGAGGTGACCTGGTGTGGACAGGGGTCAGCTGGCACGGACAGGGGTGGGCAGGGGTGGGCAGGGGTCAGCTGGCACGGACAGGGGTGGGCAGGGGTCAGCTGGCACAGACAGGGGTGGGCTGGGGTGGGCAGGGGTCAGCTGGCACGGACAGAAGCTGCCTGCAGCCCCCTCCAGGCTGGCACAGGTGTAAGGATGAGAAGCTCCCTGCTGGCACTGCCACCCCTGGGCACCTCAGTGCCCTCTCTCAGGGACAGCCCCACGCTCCTGGAGGTTCCAGCACACCCAGTGCCCATGGAGGTCCCCTGTCCCCCCACAGGAACCCCCACAGAGGACACCTGGCCTGGGATAACGTCCAACGAGGAGTTCAAGGCTTACAACTTCAGCCAGTACCGAGCCCAGCCCCTGATCAACCACGCCCCAAGGTACCCCAGGGGCAGGGACAGAGAAAGACTGGGGGGATTGAGGGGGTGGAAAGGGCAGCCTGGGCTCCTTTCGAGGCTGCAGTGCCACTCGTCCCTCCCTGTGGTTGTTGCAGCCTCCTGGGTGCAGCCCTGGTGCAGTTTTGGTTTTGTTTCCCCTCTCTCCCAGGCTGGACTCAGAAGGCGTCGACCTGCTGACAAATCTGCTGCTGGTGGGTGCTGGGAAGGGAAGGGAAGGGGCACCTGGAGCAGGGCAGTGCCACGATGTGGGTGGGTGGCACTTCTGGGGTGGGCAGGGTGCCCAGATGTGTGATATGAATGTAGAGAGGTGTATAAATGTAGGTATATGAATGTAGAGAGGAAATGTGTGCTGTAAATGTACAGGGGTGCCCAGATGTGTGAGGTGAATGTAGAAAGGTGCCCAGCTGTGTGATATAAATGTAGAAAGGTGCCCAGCTGTGTGGTATAACTGTAGAAAGGTGCCCAGCTGTGTGATATAAATGTAGAAAGGTCCCCAGCTGTGTGGTATAACTGTAGAAAGGTGCCCAGCTGTGTGGTGTATGTAGAAAGGTGCCCAGATGTGTGATATAACTGTAGAAAGGTGCCCAGCTGTGTGATATAAATGTAGAAAGGTGCCCAGCTGTGTGGTATAGCTGTAGAAAGGTGCCCAGCTGTGTGATATAAATGTAGAAAGGTGCCCAGCTGTGTGATATAACTGTAGAAAGGTGCCCAGCTGTGTGATATAAATGTAGAAAGGTGCCCAGCTGTGTGGTGTAAATGTAGAAAGGTGCCCAGCTGTGTGGTATAACTGAGTGTTTCTGGCTTTTCTGGGGCGTTGTGCAGTACAGAGCCAAGGGCCGGATCTCAGCCGAGGCAGCCCTGCAGCACCCCTACTTCAGGAGCCTGGGAGAGAGGGTGCACCTCCTGCCTGACAGTGAGTGCTGGGTGCTGCTGGCCCCAAAAACGGGGGAAAAAGGGTAAAAAAGGGTAAAACAGGGGCTGCAGGCACCTCCTGCCTGACAGTGAGTGCTGGGTGCTGCTGCTGGCCCCAAAAATGGGTAAAAAAAGGGTAAAAAAGGGGCTGCAGGCACCTCCCTGCTCCCTCAGGGGTGCCTCTGCAGCAGGGTGGGACAGGGGCTGGTGGCTGTGGGATTTAATAATAATAATAATAATAATGCTACTATTACTGAAAATTAAAATAATAATAGTAATAATAATAATCATCATCATCATAAATGCTACTACTACTAATAATAAAAGCATTAAAATTATAAGAACCATAAATACTTATAATGCTAATAATACTATATTATTCCTACTAACACTAATAATAAAAAATAATAATAATAAACACTACTACTACTACTAATATTATAATTATAATAATAATAACCATAAACACTACTACTACTAATAATAAAATAAATAAAAAGCTAATAGTAATATTAATAATGATAAATAATAATAAATACTAATACTACTACTAATAATACTCATAAATGCTACAACTACTACTACTACTAATATAATAATAACCATAAATACTAATAATGCTGCTACTACTACTAATAGTAATAATAATAAACACTACTACTAAAAATAATAATATAATAATAACCGTAAATACTACTACTAATAATAAAAAATTTAAAATAACAGCAGTAATAATAATAATTAATAATTAATAATAACAATTGATAATAACAATAATGATAATAATTTAAAATAATGATAAATAATAGTAGTAATAGTAGTAATAATAATAATAATAATAATTTGGGTGGGACGGGACGGGCTGACAGAGGAGCTCCCTGGAGGTGCCACCCTGGGGCAGGACTGACCCCTCTGTCTGTGCCCCCTCTGCCCAGATGCCTCCATCTTCTCCCTGAAGGAGATCCAGCTCCAGAAGGACCCCGGGCACCGGGGCTCGGCCTTCCAGCACTCAGGTAGGGCCGGGCAGGGGCCGGGCAAGGCCTGGGCAGGGGCTGGGCAGGGGTTGGGCAAGGGCCGGGCAAGGGCCGGGCAAGGGCTGGGCAGGGGCCGGGCAAGGCCTGGGCAGGGGCTGGGCAAGGGCCAGGCAGGGGCCGGGCAAGGGCCGGGCAAGGGCAAGGGCTGGGCAGGGGCCAGGTGAGGGCAGGGGCCAGGCAAGGCCTGGGCAAGGGCCGGGCAAGGCCTGGGCAGGGGCCGGGCAGGGGTTGGGCAAGGCCTGGGCAGGGGTTGGGCAAGGCCTGGGCAGGGGCCGGGCAAGGCCTGGACAAGGGCCGGGCAGGGGCCGGGCAAGGCCTGGGCAAGGGCCAGGCGAGGGCTGGGCAAGGGCCGGGCAAGTGTTGGGCAGGGGCTGGGCAAGGCCTGGGCAGGGGCCGGGCAAGGGCAGGGGCTGGGCAAGGGTTGGGCAGGGGCTGGGCAAGGCCTGGGCAGGGGCCGGGCAAGGGCAGGGGCTGGGCAAGGGTTGGGCAGGGGCTGGCAAGGCCTGGGCAGGGGCCGGGCAAGGGCAGGGGCTGGGCAAGGGTTGGGCAGGGGCCAGGCAAGGGCTGGGCAAGGGCAGGGCAAGGGCTGGGCAGGGGCCAGGTGAGGGCAGGGGCCAGGCAAGGCCTGGGCAGGGGCCGGGCAAGGCCTGGGCAGGGGCCGGGCAAGGGCTGGGCAAGGGCTGGGCAGGGGCTGGGCAGGGGCTGGGCAAGGCCTGGGCAAGGGCCGGGCAGGGGCTGGCACCTCCCCAGCCGCTGCCAGCCTGGGGCAGCAGAACCCAAAGCTGCCCCTTGTCACCCCATCCACCTGCCAGTCACCCCTGGTGTCACAGCTGGGCACCCTGGGGCACAGCTGGGAACGGCCCAGGCTGGAAACCCCCTGCCCAGAGTGGGGATCTGTGGGGTTTGGGGGCTCTGAGCGGGGATTTGTGGGGTTTGGGGGGGTCAGGGTGGGGGTTTGGGGGCTCAAAGTGGGGATTTGTGGGGTTTGGGGGCTCTGAGCGGGGATCTGTGGGGTTTGGGGGGGTCAGGGTGGGGGTTTGGGGGCTCAAAGTGGGGATTTGTGGGGTTTGGGGGCTCAGAGTGGGGATTTGGGGGGTTTGGGGGGGTCAGAGTGGAGATTTGAGGGCTCAGGGTGGGGATTTGTGAGGTTTGGGGGCTCAGAGTGAGGATTTGTGGGGTTTTCTGGTTCACAGTGGGGATTTGTGGGGTTTGGGGGGCTCCGAGTGGGGATTTGTGGGGTTTGAGGCCTCAGGATGGGAATTTATGAGGTTTGGGGGGCTCAGGGTGGGGATTTGTGGGGTTTTCCGGCTCACAGTGGGGATTTGTGGAGTTTGGGGGGCTCAAAGTGGGGATTTGTGGTGTTTGTGGGTCTCACGGTGAGGATTTGTGGGGTTAGGCCCAGGCAGGAGTTGCTGGAAATGCACCTTTGCTCAGACAAGCTGCCCTGCACCCCCTGATTTTTGGGGGAGACCATGTTAGGACTGCTGGGCACGGCCTGGCCCGGCACTGGGAGCAGCTGGGGCACATCTGGGGCACATCTGGGGCACATCTGGGGCACAGCTGACCCCTCTCTCCGTGTCCCCTCCCCAGCCCGCGGCAAGAACAGGAGGCAGAGCATCTTTTAAACTGGGATTTGGCATCGCCCTGGTTGCCATGGAGACGGAAACGCTGGGAAAGGAGCGGCTCCCACCCCACCCTGGGCAGAATTCCCGGCTCCAGCAGGACCCCAAAACCCCCGGGAGCAGCTCCCAAACCCCCCCTGCATGGACCTGGGGCCTTGTCCCCCCTTGTTTGGGGTTGTCCCCGCTGAGAGCAGCTCCAGGGAGGAGATGCTGGCACCTGCCATGCCCTGGGAGGGTTTTGGGATGGGGATTTGTGGGGTTTGGGGGGCTCAGAGTGGGAATTTGTGAGGTTTGGGGCTTCAGAGTGAGGATTTGTGGGGTTTCGGGGGCTCAGGGTGAGGATTTGGGGGCTCAGAGGAGGGATTAGTGAGGTTTGGGGGCTCAAAATGGGGATTTTTGGGGTTTTGAGGGCTCAGGGTAGAGGTTTGGGGGGTTTGGAGGTTCAAAGTGAGGATTTGTGGGGTTTGGAAGGGTCAAAGTGGGGATATGTGAGGTTTTAGGGACTCAGGATGGGGATTTGTGGGGTTTTCAGGCTCAAGGTGGGGGTTTGTGGAGTTTGGGGGCTCAAAATGGAGATTTGTGAGGTTTGGGGGTTCAGAGTGGGGATTTGTGAGGTTGGGAGGCTCAGGATGGGGATTTGTGGGGTTTGGGGGGCTCAGGGTGAGGATTTGTGGGCTTTGGCCAGGCAGGAGTTGCTGGAAATGCACCTTTGCTCAGACAAGCTGCCCTGCACCCTCTGATTTTTTGGGGAGACCACATTAGGACTGCTGGGCACGGCCTGGCCCGGCACTGGGAGCAGCTGGGGCACAGCTGGGGCACAGCTGGGGCACATCTGGGGCACACCTGGGGCACAGGAACCAGGGCAGCCCCCCAATATTTCCCCTCTGCCTTCAGAACCTCCTTTCCCCTCCCTGTTTTGGTGCCCAAATCCAGCTGAGGATGGAGCAGCCAGAATCCCCCCTGCTGCCCTCAGGCCCTCCCAGTTCCTGCCCCCAAACTGGGACGTTCCTGCCCCCAAACTGGGACGTTCCTGCCCCCAAACTGGGATATCTCTGCCCCCAAACTGGGATGTTCCTGCTCCCAAACTGGGATGTTCCTGCTGCCCTCATCCTCTCCCAGTCCCTGCCCCCAAACTGGGATATCTCTGCCCCCAAACTGGGACGTTCCTGCTGCCTTCATCCTCTCCCAGTCCCTGCTCCCAAACTGGGACGTTCCTGCCCCTAAAATGGGATGTTCCTGCTGCCCTCATCCTCTCCCAGTCCCTGCTCCCAAACTGGGATGTCCTTGCTCCCAAACTGGGATGTCCTTGCTCCCAAACTGGGATGTCCCTGCCCCCAAACTGGGATGTTCCTGCTCCCAAACTGGGATATCTCTGCCCCCAAACTGGGACGTTCCTGCTCCCAAACTGGGACGTTCCTGCTCCCAAACTGGGATGTTCCTGCTACCCTCATCCTCTCCCAGTCCCTGCCCCCAAACTGGGATGTCTCTGCTCCCAAACTGGGATATCTCTGCCCCCAAACTGGGATGTCCCTGCCCCCAAACTGGGACGTTCCTGCTACCCTCATCCTCTCCCAGTCCCTGCCCCCAAACTGGGGATGTTCCTGCTCCCAAACTGGGATATCTCTGCCCCCAAACTGGGATGTTCCTGCTGCCCTCATCTTCTCCCAGTCCCTGCTCCCAAACTGGGACCAGGACTGGCACCTGGAGCTGGGTCTGGCACCTGGAGCTGGGTCTGGCACCTGGAGCTGGGTCTGGCACTTTGCTCCAGCTCCAGCTCTCACTGGGGCTGTTCCCTCTGGAGCAGGCAGGGATTCCTCCAGCAATCCTTGGGAAATGCTCCATGGGAAGGAAAATGATCCTGGAGCTGCCCCGGTGCCACCCCAGCCCTGCCCCAGCCGAGTCTCCAGACCCTGCATTGTTTGAGCTTTGCCCAGCCCTGCTCTGGTCCCTTCCCGGGATTTCCAGCCTGAATTGTTCCCTAATTGATTCCAGGGCATGGGGAAGAGCAGGAACAGCCCCCAGTGACGCATTTGGGGCCATGTTTTCCTGGTCCCTCCTGGTTCCTTTTTTTCCTGATTCCCTCTTTTCCTGATTCCCTCTTTTCCTGATTCCCTCTTTTTCTGGGTTCTCCTGGTTCCATTTTTTCCAGGTCTCTCCTGGTTCCCTGTTTTCCTGGTCTCACGATTCCTTCTTTTCCTGATCTCTCCTGATTCCTTCTTTTCCTGGTCCCTCCTGATTCCATTTTCCTGGTCTCTCCTGTTTTCCTGGTCCCTCCTGATTCCCTCTTTTCCTGATCTCTCTTGGTTTCTTCTTTTCCTGGTCCCTCCTTATTCCCTGTTTTCCTTGTCCCTCCTAGTTCCCTTTTTTCCTGGTCTCTCCTGGTTCCTTCTTTTCCTTGTCCCTCTTGGTTCCCTCTTTTTCTGGTTCCCTCTTTTCCTGATTCCCTTTTTTCCTGGTCCCTCCTGGTTCCTTTTCCTGGTCTCTCGATTCCCTTTTTTCCTGGTCTTTCCTGGTTCTTTCTTTTCCTGGTCCTTTCTTTTCCTGGTCCCTCCTGATTCCATTTTCCTGGTCCCTCCTGATTTCCTCTTTTCCTGATCTCTCTTGGTTTCCTCTTTTCCTGGTCCCTCCTTATTCCCTGTTTTCCTTGTCCCTCCTGGTTCCCTTTTTTCCTGGTCTTTCCTGGTTCTTTCTTTCCCTGGTCCCTCCTGATTCCATTTTCCTGCTCCCTCCTGTTTTCCTTGTCCCTCCTGATTCCCTCTTTTTCTGATCCCTCCTGATTCTTTCTTTCCTGGTCCCTCCTGGTCCCCTCTTTTCCTGGCTCCATTTTTTCCTGGTCCCTCCTGATTCCCTCTTTTCCCGAATCTCTCCTGGTTCTCTTTTTCCTTGCTCCTTTCAGATTCCCTCTTTTCCTGGTTCCCTCTTTTCCTGGTTCCCTCCTGCAGCTCTCCCAGTGCCACCTTTCCTCCCACAAAGGAATTTCCTTCCTTGGCACCAGAGCTGCCCTTCCTGGGTCTCCTGCAGGACCTGGACAAGGACAGGGCTCCTTCAGTGCCTGGGCTGAGGAATTCTGCTCTTCCCATGGGAGCAGAGCCTGGAGCAGGGCAGGGACCCTCCCTGGCCATCCCTGACCTCTCTCTGCTCACTTTTCCCATTCCCACAGTCCAAACAACAAAATTCTTTTGGAGTTTGTAGATTCAGGACAAAATAAGTGCTTTTTTTGGGCTTTTTTCCTTTCTTCCTTACACAAAAAAGGAAAAAAATGGAACTAAAGGGCATTTTCCCAAGGTTTTCCAACTCTGGGAGTGGGAATGAATTTCCAGGGGCACTGGGCCGTGCCACATCTGCAGGGGGAGAAATTCACACCCAGATCCAAAATTCCTGCTGGAGATCGAGGCAAAGTGCTGGGAGAATCCCACGGAACCAGGACAACATTCCCAGGATTAGGAAAAGCCCTGCTGGATCCTGTTTATCCTTGCACAGCTTTTCCCTTTTTCCCTACAAATCCCCCCAAAAAGGGTGGGGGGTTTGGGTTAGGCTTTCCACCTTCTGAGAGAATTCCCGACATTTGGCAATGCCCAAAACCTGGGGAAAAAATGGGAATTTCTACCCTCCTAAACTTTTTTTTTCCTTTCTTTAGAATCCCAGCTTTTCCAAGGAATTTTTGCCAGATTTTTTTGGGGGGATTTTTCCCCTCTGGCTTCACGCCTAGAACCCCCCAAGTTTACAGAATTCCAGAGAATTCCAGAGGGTTCCAATTCCCCTGTTACTGATCAGCTGCCAACAGCCCCAATTCCAGATAATCCCGTTTATCCCATGGATATTTGATTCCCACTTGGGAATGTAAATATTTGGTGCCACGCTCTGATCTCCACAGCTGGAAACAAAAACAGAGCAGGGATTAAATCCTGGAATTAAAATCCCTCTTTTCTAACCCTGGCATAAAATTCCAGCCCTTTTAGGCTGGGTTTAGGGGGAGAGAAAAACCCCCTGGATGCCCCATCCATTAAAAAACCCCATTCCTGTCCCATCCCTGAGCAGGATCTCCCTGGTTTTGGAGCACCAATTGGAATTTTCATGGAAATGTTGGGAATTTCTGTGGTTTTCCAGAATTTTTTTTCCCCTCATTCCATGGATTCTCCCATCCACCGCATCCAGGAGCAGCCACTGCTCAAGGGCAGGCAAAAAAGGAAGTTTTGCGTCTTTGTCTTGCACGGAGTTTTCTTGGAATTTTTTCCTTTTTTTTATTATTATTATTACCAGAAAAGAGGATTTTTGGCTGTGCCCTCAGGAAGTCTGTATTCCTGGTATTCTTTTGTCTGGCCAGCTGATGGTTGGGTGAAGGAATGGAATTAAATCAGGGTTTGGGACAAAAACAACAACAACAGCAACACTTGGAGGCAGAGCTCCCACCCCTCCATTCCCACATGGATCCTCCTTTCCTGGCCCAACACATCCACATGGAGAACTCAACAAAATTCCTTTGGTTTTGGAAATTCAAAATGCAAAATAAATGCATTTTTTCCCCCTTTTTTTTTTACACAAAAGATGAAAAAAGTGGAATTAAGGAGCGTTTTCCCGAGGTTTTCCAATGTTCTGTTTGGGTTTTTCCGCCTGATCTCCAGCTGTGCTGCACATCTGGACGCTCAAATGGTGCAAAATTGGAATTGGATTTTGGATGTCCCTCCAAAATTGGATGTTGGAGCACAAACAATAAAAATTCCACATTTCTTCATTGCCTTCCTCCATCCTCAGCTCATCCTCCAGCAGGAGAAAATGATGGGAGGGGCCAGGATGGATCCCAAACTGTGAATTTCTCTGGGGTGATTCTTTGGCAGAAAACTGAGAATAAATGTATTTAACTAGTGCTGTACAAACAAAAGACTTGTTTTAAAATAAATGATTTTAAGGATTTATTCCAAAAGAAGTAATGATTTTTTTATATATATATATATAGAGAGAAAGTTTTTCTGGAATAAATGGAAAGGTACAAAAAATAAATAATAAATAATAATTATAAAGGATTTTATCCATCTGTCAGTCTCTTGGTTATATTTTATAAGAATATTTCAAATTTTCTACTTCAGAAAAA